TAAGCACAATACACAACAAAAAACAAAAATGCATATAGTATGTAATAAAGCACATATATAAAGTGTACATATTACAAGCTTTTCAAACAATGTTTCAGTAACCACAAAAGTTTGGTTAACTATTGTAGTGGTGCCAAAGGATCATTTGGATGCACACAGACTCATCGCTAATGGGAAGAATGGTGGGATACATTTTCAAGGCCAACAGGTCTTACATCTGCTCTCTGCCCCAGTGGATTGTATAAATGGACTCTAACAAGTGCCTGTTTATTTTGTTATCCTACATTTTATTGTTTTTCCCTGTTGCCAGTAACTCTACCGCAAGTGGCCACTAGTTGAAAACCTAATCTAATAAATAGTATTAGTACTAATGTGATTCATCTATTTAAAGTACATTGAACATAGAACAGAATTGTTTTCTAATTGGCTGTTCGCTTGAGTCATTTATTAGACGTGTACTAGATGCTAAACCTCAAGTTTCAAGAGAGCTATTCTTCATTCCATTCCTAAAAGCAATCTTGCTCACACTCATTTTCTAAGTAGTGTGATTTACATCCTCCTTGGGGTACTTTCCAATTACACACGATCTTGCCCAACAAAATTGGCCAATGTCCGGTACAGCCATCCCACGTTGCAATCAAGAGTGACGCGCATGTATAATATCGTTGAACTTTTATGTGATGAGTTGTGCTGTGACTGGTGTGCCAGAGGCATGTTTAGGGAATAATAGGAAAAGATTGGATTGGTGCAGAGTTGCTCTATGATGAATGGCTTTGGCGACTAAGTGTCCGATATTCTGATAGCCCCTGAGAAAGGACAGGGTGAGGGAAGGGGGAAGTCTTTAGAGAGGTCAAAAAGGGAGATGCTAAGGTCGTATTGATGACAGAGGAAGGAACTTTGAAAGAGAAAGAGAGGTGATGAACGACTTAGAATGATAAGGAAAGAAATGGCCCGTGAGCGAGAGAGAGAGAGAGAGAGAGAGAGAGATGTTTTATCTATGAATGACACAATGAGAAAAAGTGGGAATGCACTATGACCTTTGACTCCAGTGGCTCAGGAGTCAAACAAACAGAGACAAGCGCTCACCAGACTGTTTAACTGAACCAATAATTCTACTATGTAACAACACTGAGAGTAACATACTGTATATCATACATGTAAAATAATCCTTCAAATGTTACTTAACACTGGAGCTTACGGTCCTCTGAAAAAGGAACCTCACCCTCGAATAATACATAACCACCTTAGTTGTAATTTTGGTTTCACTTTATTTTGATGGTCCCTTTAACACATTCTGTTGACTATAAGTAACATTGCACCTACATGTCTACTAACTCTCATTAAAGTATCAGTAGAGTATTAGTAGACTGGTAGGGTTAGGGTTAGAATAAGTTGACATGTACTTGCAACGTTACTTATAGTCAGTAGAATGTTTGTTGGGAGATGACAATAAAGAGTTAGTAGATATTAAGCAAACCGTTTACTAATACTTTGTTGAGAGTTAGTAGACATGTAGGTGCAACATTACTTATTGGTCAACAAAATGTTCAAAAGGGACCATCAAAATAAAGTGTTACGGTAATTTTCATTCTATGATATTTTCCCTTTTAAAAAGCTAATTTTAAAGTAAATTTCTTTAGGTTTTTACACATATCACATGAAGATTAGGTGTTACTAACTAATAGTATGCCATCTCAAAATAAAATAATACTTTTAAAGCACTATCATTTAAACTTTTAAAGAGTTTTGATTTTCAAAAATGAATACTTTTATTCTGCAAGGATGCATTAAATTGATCAAAAGTGACTTTTACAGTGTTACAAAAAAAATGCTATTTCAAATAAATGCTGTTCTTTTGCTCTTTCTTTTCATCAAAGAAAAGGTTTCACAAAAATATTAAGCAGCACAATTGTTTTCAACATTGATAATAATTAGATACGTGTCTTGCACAGCAAATCAGCATATTCAAATTATTTCTGACACTGATGACTGGAGAAATTGTGCTGTAAATTCAGCTTTACCAAACCAGGATAGAAATTAGAGTCTAAAATATATTAAAATAGAAAAGAGCCACTATAACAAGATTTCATAATATTACTTGTATTTTTTTGAGCATGTAAATGCATGATTTAGTTCAAGAGTTTGAACAGTAGTGTTCAAGGACATGACACCTTCATAATCATGACATGACACCTTCATAATCATGACATGACACCTTCATAATCATGACAAATATTGTCATGACAAATATTGGCCCTTCTTGAAATGATAAAGAAGAATAAAGAATAGCACATCATTTTAGTAAGGAATAGTTATGGCAACACACGGCACACAAACTCAATAATTATGACACCTTCATAATCATGACATGACACCTACATAATCATGACGGTGTCATGTCATGATTATTAAGGTGTCATGTCAGTCTTATGCACACCCCTTCAAGTAAAGTGTAACCGAGAATTTAACTGTGATATTTCTACAAATATTGGCCCTTCTTGAAATGATAAAGAAGAATAAAGAATAGCACATCATTTTAGTAAGGAATAGTTATGGCAACACACGGCACACAAACTCAAGTCTTTTAAATAATACACTATGCTAACAATAATATACAGTATTTATGCGCAATTACTAAATAATACTAAAATTAATAGTTGATGACTCCAGTGCTACTCTTCTAACTCCAAATCTACAAAGGACAAAATCTGGTACAAGAACTACATGACTCAGTTAGTTTTTACTGAACATACACATGCACACATAATCAAAACCCCAAAACAAAAAATTAAAGATAAATATCAAAACATCAGTACATATATCCTTATAAAGATTAGAATATAACTGAACTACAATCATTGCAATAAATCAGTCTGAAATCAGGTATGACTATAACAACATCTGTGAAATACCTAAAATTTAGAGAAGGACATTTTTAAATGGGCATTTTGATGTAATATACAGGCACATGGGGTTTGTGCAGCACAGTGTTATAGTGGTTAGCGTTCACGCATAAATAAAACCATTCATTGAAGTTTAGTGTCAGATTCGGGAGCTTAGTTTAGGATTAGATATAAAGGTAAAATTAGTTTGGCTCTCAATATGTTGACCCTCATTTGTATATTGATTCTGATTAGCTTGCTTTTACCTGGACATATCTTGTGACCTGGTCAGACCTGTCATTGGATTCAGCAACTCCTTGACTTTAGGGTCACTGAAAAATAGACAGACAAACCAACCCATTTAAGTAGGCATTTTCCGATATCATATTCCCTGAAAATAAATTCCAGGGAACATATATATTATCTATACATTATTAAGTTACAGTATGTATTTTATTTTAATTAAAGGTGCTGGCTGGTCTTCATACAGTAGCTTATGTTCATACCGCCTTCCAGTGGGTACATTCAGTATTGCACTTGGGAGGTTACAATACATTTAATATACTTTAAATTCCTTCAAGTAAATGAAAGCAAAAACAATAGACCTTAAAGACAATATACATTACAATCCATAGTGACATGCCTTGTTAAGTCCCCACCAGTATAGAAAAACATGTATAAACACACACACACTCAGGTTTGTTTCTGGTTTATGGGGACTCTCCATAGGCGTAATGGTTTATATACTGTACAACCCGTATTTTCTATTGCCCTACACCAACCCTACCCCTAAACCTACCCCTCACAGGAGACTTTCTGCATTTTTAGATTTTCAAAAAAACTCATTCTGAATTATTTATAAGCCTTTTGAATTACGGGGACACTGAAAATGTCCTCATAAATCACCTTCTCGTTGTAATACCTATGTCATACCCATGTTATTATACAAATTTGTGTCCTCATAAACCACATAAACATGCACACACACACACACACACATGTCTGGTCAGCTATCCTTGTGGGCTATCCCAGCTATCCTTGTGACCACAATTTAAACCACATAAACATGACGAGTCCCCATGAGTCTGTGTGTACTCAGGTTTAAGTCCCCATCAGGATATATAAATCTGTACACACACACGCACACACACACACACACACACAAGTGCTTTTTAAATTATCGTTCTCTTTTTTTCATAGTCTAATCTTTGTAACCCTTAGTTTAATAAATCAACATGTGGCTCTAAGCACAAGCACTCTGCTACAGTCAGAGGCCTCAGAGTAACTGAAGTCATGTGATGAGAGGCTTGTGTGTGAGATCTATTATCCTATGAAAGTCATGAGACAGGAACCTGACTTTGCCAAAGAGCTTATTTCCTCCAAAAGAAACCATTCGCTCAATGTTAGGATAAACAACAACTTAAATAATAGGCCTTACTTAATATACTGTCTATTATACGTATTATTTATTTTAATTTAATTATTGTATTAGTGCAGAAGACCAAGGCCTGGAACCTTACATGTAAAAAATAAATAAATAATAATAATTTCATGACGTTCATTAAAGAGGAGAAAGGAGTGTGACGCACATGAACTGTGTCTAATGTGAATCCAGCCATCACTCTGAAGGAGACATTAGGTGGAAAATATTGATGTCTAATAGCAGGCAAAAGCATGTTCTTCTTCCAGAGGGCGCATGGTGGCTCAAAAAGCAGAATCCTTCTTTGAACCATATTGAAATTTCAGAGGCGTTTTTATATTATTTGAGATATTTGCAAACGTGTAATGTATTACATTCACCCCCCAAGGTGACTGGTATCTGACATATAAACTAAATTCTGACACTAAAACGCTATACACTGTCCTCTCCAGAAATCACGAACGACTGTGATTGGACCCCCGTGAAAAGCGCTGAGAAACGTAACACGTATCACAAGACAGAGACGCGTTTTAATATTTTTTTTAGCAAGGTTCCAGACAATAATTTACACATTAATTTCGACACTTATAACTTCAATAGTTATTAAACCGAATAAAAAACGAGAAATATAATAATTAATATTTTAACGGCCCAATAAGCCCCGCCCACTCAATGTAGAACGTTAATGTTTTTTTTCTTGCCATTCTGTTTATTCTGTTTCTGTGAGAGTGGAGCAGCGCATACCGCATCTGAGCATCACAGGTATGCGATTCATTATTTTGAATCAGGTTGCTATGTTGACATTACTGCAAGTATTGTTGAATCATTTCAGATGACAACATTAAATTCATTAGAGTAAATATTGTATCAGGCGTAGGGCCTGCTCAGCTAGAACCGATATGAAATATCTTATTGCGCTGCGTACGCAGTGCATTTTTAGATTTGCTCAGCCTTAAAGATTTACGTGTTTTATCTTTTGATATCAACATGTAATGTATATGTATTATTAATATAATTATTATTTGTGAAAACGGTTGTAAAAACACTTGCATCGTAAATATGATATATATATATATATATATATATATATGATATCTGATGCAAGCATCTGTGTTGTTTTCAGTCATCATGTCTTACAGAATGATGGACAGCAGTCACTCACAGCCGAGAGACTTCAACAACCTCACCCAGACATGCAGCTCAAACATCCAGAAAATCACACAAAACAGTGAGGAGATATGTTTTACATTGAAACTCACACTTGAAGAGATGATTGTGTTTGTCATACAAGTTCTTTATTGTTGTATTCTTAATAAACACTTATTGAGTACATGTACAGTAAATTAACATACTTTCCAGAAGGCCAACAATTCACTAAAAATGTTTTTTTTTATTGGTGTTATGAAGTATTCTAATTTGTTGAGATAGTGAATTGGTGGGTTTTTGTTAAATGTGAGCCAAAATCATCACAATTAAAAGAACCAAAGACTTAAACTACTTCAGTCTGTGTGCATTGAATTTATTTAATACACGAGTTTCACAATTTGAGTTGAATTACTGAAATAAATGAACTTTTCCATGACATTCTAATTTATTGAGATGCACCTGTATATAGATTGTGTATTTTTGGAGTCTTATCATTTAATGTTATAATCATGTTTTCTGTGCACAGCTGGCCAAATCAAGAGCATGCTGTTCCAACTCGGTACCAGACCAGACACACCAGAACTTCAGGACAGACTGTGAGTCCAGTTATATTTCCATCCATTCTTGCATCCATTAAGCAGCTCTAAAAAGAGGACAGTAGTAAACAGTGATACAGAGAAGAAAAGCAGCACCAGCCTTTGATAGGCTACTCGGGGCACAGTTTTGTGGTGTTTTTATGTGGTAATGTGTCTTGATGCAAAATTTAGAGCGAACACAGAGCCTGGTCAGAGATGACTAAACTTGGCTGTGTTTAAAGATGCCGTTAGACTATCTGACCAACATGTAAAATTACTGATCAAAAATCAAGTAATGTTGAGGTACACCTTAAAGCTGCAGTCCATAACATTTTTTGGTTAAAAATTATCCAAAATCAATTTTTGAGGAAGTACATAACCAGCTAGTGTTCAAAGCTATCTCCTTAGAGTCCTTACACTCATAATATAAAGGGTTCTTCAGCTTGTAATAATAGCAGAACCCTATTTGGTGCTAAATAGAACCCTTTTTATAGGGTTCCATAAAGAACCATGCTTTGAAAGTGTTATATAGAACCTTAATGGTATTATAAATAACTTTTTTAATGATAGTTTATTTTCATTAATATTAGTATATTTGAATATTTATATCATTAATATTCGTTTTATTAATATTATTTGAATTAATTATTATTATTGTAATAGAGTAGTGTAACTGGCTGTTAAATGTTTGTGTGACAGTAACTTTACCATAGTCTAATATTACATTAACATTAAAGTTATAATAATAATTTAAAATAGGAATGCTTATCAAAACTTAAATAAAGAAGACAAAACATAACTTTTTCTGCATCAACAAAATCCTATATTCTAATCCTAATCCTATACAATGCTGCTTGGAAGTTTGTGAAGCCTTTAGAATTTTCTATATTTCTGCATAAATATGACCCAAAAGATCAGCAGATTTTCACACAAGTCCTGAAAGTAGACAAAGAGAACCCAATCAAACAAATGAGACAAAAATATAAACTTTGTCATTTATTTTTTTCTGGAAAATGATCCAATATTACTTATCAGTGAGTGGCAAAAAATATGTGAAACTCTAGGATTAGTTCATTTGAAGGCAAAATTAGAGTCCATCTGTTCAGAAGTGTTTTCAATCAATGGGTGTCAGTGCATGCCCTGTTTTATTTCAAGAACAGGGATCTTGTGGGAGTCTGAACATGTTTGTGGAAGCGCATCTTGGCACGAATAAAGGAGATCTCCGTGGACCTCAGAAAAAGAGTTGCTGGTGCTTATCAGGTTAGAAAAGTTGACAAAAACATATCTAAAGAGTTTGGACTCCACAAATCTACAGTCAGAGAAATTGTGTACAAATGGAGGAAATTCAAGATTATCGTTACCCTCCCCAGAAGTGGTCGACCAACAAAGATCACTCTAAAAGCAAAACGTGTAATAGACTGCGAGGTTGCAAAGGACCCCATGGTAACTTCTAAGCAACTAAAGGCCTTTCTCACATTGGCTGATGTTAATGTTCATGAGTCCACCATCAGGAGAACACTGAGCAAGCATGGTGTGCATGGCAGAGTTGCAAGAAGAAAGCCACAGCTTTCCAAAAAAAAAAAAAAAACTGCTGCCCGCCTGCAGTTTGATAAAGATCATGTGGACAAGCAAGATGACTACTGGAGAAAGGTTTAAAGGACAAATGAGACCAAAATATACATTTTGGGTTTAAATGAGAAGCGTTATGGAGAAAGGAAAACACTGCATTCCAGCATAAGAACCTTATCCCGAAACATGTTGGTGGTAGTATCATAGTTTGGGCCTGTTTTGCTGCATCTGGTCCAGGACGGCTTGCAATCATTGATGAAACAATGAATAATGAACATCTGTCCGAGAACTGAATCTCAAGAGAAAGTGGGTAATGCAGCAAGACAACGAGCCCAAGCACACAAGTTGTTCTAATAAAGAATGTTAAAGAAGAGCAAAGTTAATGTTTTGGAATGGTACAGTCAAAGTCCGCACCTTAATCCAATTGAAATGTTGTGGAAGGACCTGAAACAAGCAGTTCATAGGAGGAAATCCACCAACATCACAGAGCTGAAGCGGTTCTGTACTGAGGAATGGACTGAAAAGCCAATGTGCAGGATTTATCAGCAGTTACATGAAACGTTTAGCTGCAGTTATTGCTGCAAAAGGGGGTCACAACGGATACTTGTTATGTTGGGAATCAGTCAAATAAAGAAGCAGAAAACAAGCAGTACTGAAACACACGCAGTTTACTTAATCTTCTTCCTTCATTACTATCCTACAATAGAACATGTATGAACAACAGTGGCATCTAGGGGAGGCCTTAAACGTAGCACAATTATTCAGACACAACATCTTCCCCTTTTCAGAAAGAATATAGCAGGCTTTAAACAACAGAAATACGTATAAGCCCAGAATAAACAAGTACTGTGAAGCACAATTAAATGAAGAACATATTTTAACTTTTTATCTTCTTGACTCAATTATTTTAACAGTTCAACCTCTCTTCATTTTCTTACTCATGTAAAACATAGTCCTTAGTCCAGATAGGTTTCTGCCTTATTCTAGTACACCTGAATGGCACACTCGGGAGGTTAACAATTTGTGATGCAGGTTGTTGCTTTTCATAAGTGTCAGCACCACTCGGTTCTGGCACTACAGAAAGACGTGAAGCATTCCATATTTTACCATCATACAGGAGGTAGGAATCCTCACCTCTCTTCTGCACAACAGATCTTGGTTGTGTGAATTTTTGGTCACCTTTCTTTACTTTCCAGGGTTTCTTAATCCACACCAGGTCTTCAGGTTAGAGTCTAGAGGACTTTGCATGTCTCCTGGCATCAGTGTACTGTTTGACTTTGTCTTGTTTCCTTTTCACATGTTGTCGTAGCATGTTTTTGTCTGTATCTTTTACAGGATAGTCCATGATTTGTAGTTTTATTCGCATGTATCGACCATGGAGCAACTCTGAGGGTGTAACGCCCGTGGTAGCATGAGGGGACTCCTGTAGTTCATCAGGAATGTTTGCGTGAATGATTTCCAAGGCTTTTAGGATTTACACAGCAGATCTGAAATGGCGTATATCTCTCTCCCTGAGAAACTCAGAAAACTCAGAGGAAATAAACTGTGGTCCATTGTCTGAGACAAGTTCTTTTGGATTTCCTTCGCGGGCGAAGACTGAAGTCAGGAACTGTAGGACAGCAGCTGTGTCAACTCTGGATGAGAAAGCAACCTCTGGCCATTTACTGAAATAATCAATGAGCGTTATGGCATATCTGCAGCTTGCTGGTGCAGTCTCAAATGGTCCTACAATATCGATGGAAACCTTCTCCCATGCAGCTGATGGCAACTCAACAGGTTTGAGCGTGAATCATATGTAACAGCCGATTTATCATTCTGTTTGCATGTGGAACAGTCCCGTATCAGAGCTTCAGCCTGGCTATCCATTTTCGGCCACCAGTACAGTTGTCTAAGCCGCTGCTTGGTACGAACCATGCCTTGATGCAATTCATGCGCAACGTCTATGAGTTATTTCTGTAGTGACTCATGTACCAAAAGGCGATGTGTACCTCTGACTACGCATCCCTCCACTACGGCAAGCTCTTGGCGGATCGGAAAGTAGGGTTGTACATGCAGGTCGACATCCTTCTTGTACTTTGGCCAGCCAGTCTGCTGGTACGTACGCAGTTTAGTCAACACTGGGCAGTTGTTGCATGCAGTCTGGAAATCACCCTTGGAGATTGCACTAAAAGCAAATGAGATCAAAGCAACGGATTCAATTGTTTCAGCATAGTTATGATCAGGGTAAGGGAGTGGCATTCTTGACAAGCAATCAGCAACACTGTTCAGGGGGCCAGGTCTGTACTCAACGTTATAATTAAACTCCAGTAAACGTGCAGACCATCTGGCAACACGTAAACCAGCTCGACTATTACCTTTACTGCCGAGTAGAGTAGTAAGAGCTTGATGGTCGGTACGTAACATGAATTTCCTTCCCCACAGCCACGTACGCCATTTCTCCGCAGACCAGACGCAGGCAAGAGCCTCCTTTTTTACGATGGAGTATTTTCATTCTGCATCAGATAAGGAGCGGGAAGCAAAAGCAATGGTTCTCTCTATCCCCTGGTCATCAAGCTGAGTCAAGATAGCACGACACCATAATCTGAAGCATCACAGGAAAGTATTGTGCCATGATTGGAGTTGAAGAGGGAAAGTGCAGGACTGTTCACTATAGCCTTTTTGACTTGATCAAAGCTTTCTTGTGCTGCAACAGTCCACTGAAATTCACAGTCTTTGCGAAGTAAAGCTCTCATAGGTTTGACCAGAGTAGCATAGGCAGGTACAAACTTGCTGTACCAGGCGGTGAGGCCCAAAAACGAACGTAGTGTAGCTGCATCTGTAGGGCGCCGTGCATTTGTAATTGCAGTGGTATGGGTGTCATCAGGGTGCAGGCCAGCAGCTGAGAGTCTGTATCCGAGAAGGCTTAGTGAAGTTAAATTAAACTTGCATTTGTCCGGATTCAGTTTCAGGCCAGCTTCACTGATCCTATGCAGAACAGCGTTGAGGTTTGCATTGTGAATGTCTTCAGATGCACCATGGACAATTACATCATCCAAGTAACACTGTACACCTTCAAGGCCTTTTAGGATCATTGTCATCATACGCTGAAAAGCAGATGGTGCTGAACACAGGCCATAGGGAACTCTACAGAACTGGTATAGGCCCTCGTGAGTGATGAAGGCAGTGAGTCCTCTGCTCTCCTCATGTAGCTTTAACTGGTAATATGCATTCTTAAGATCGAGCGAAGAGAACATTACTGATCCATGTAGTGCAGACAGTATATCTTCGATCAATGGTAAGGGATGGCTATCTGGTACTATAGCCTTATTGGGCTCCCGTAAGTCAACACACATACGAATTGTGTCATTCTTTCGTTTTGTGACGACAATGGGTGACACCCACTCGGATGAGTCGACTTTTTCAATGATTCCGTTCTCCTCCAGTGTTTTCAGTTCCTCTGACACTGCTGCTCGTACTGATAGTGGTAAGTGACGTACTTTTTGTTGTACAGGCTTAATTTCTGCGCGAACCTTTACTTTGTGTATGAAGTCTTTAGCGCATCCAAACCCCTCTGAGGTTAATACAGAAGCAGGGCCATTTGTACATGTAGGCAGACTGCTTGGCAGCTGAAGCATTGCACAGTGAGTGACAGGTTCAATTAAGCGACCACCTTTAATTTCAATGTCCAGTGCTTTACATATGTCACGTCCAATTAGAGGTGTTCCTGATTTAACTATGTTAAACTCACCAACAACTGTTTTTCCATTGTATGTCACATTCAATGTCAAGGAGCCACAAACAGGTATTCTGTCCCTTGAATAGTTCAGAAGCTGCACTTTGGGTGGAGACAAGGCACATGAACTGAAGTGTTCTTTGTAAATGTTCTGAGGCAGAATTGATGCACCTGAGCCTGTATCTACCATCATCTTAATGGTGCAAGACTGTGCAGGGAGTAAGGATGTAGCTACAGTAAAAGTGCCCATTGGAGCTCCATCATCTGTATTACAGTCATTCACACTGAGGACCGTCACTTCAGGTAGGCATACTTCATTAACTGACTTTGGTGATGACTTGCACACTTTTGAGAAATGTCAGATTTTCCCACACCTTCTACATTTGCAATCTTTAGCAGGGCAGGACTTGTCATTTGCAAGGTGATTCACAGAACCACAGTGGTAACACTGCTGTTTGACCCTTTATGCGTCTATCCTCTCTCGACTTACTCTTTTGTTTACTTTTCTGGATCCGCATGTTAGTTTGTTTTTGGATCGCTGATACTTGTTTCGATTCCCCTTCAGCAATGACTTTGGCATCTGTCTTTTCAAGGGTTAAATCTGGCTCTAATAACAGTCTTTCGCGAATTCAGGGCATGCACGTTGTTTCCACAATCGGATCGCGGACCATTTCATGCTCCATATCGCCAAAAGTACATGTTTTTACCAGTTCACGAAGTGCTGCAACGTAATGGTCTGTAGACTCACCCATGGCTTGAGTGCGTTGCCTGAAGCGATATCTCTCGGAAACATCATTCAGTTTAGGGGAGAAGAACTGTTTTAGTGCTTGTAAAGATCCATTATATGTATCAGCGGTAAGAGGCAAAGTATTGTAGATTCGCTGTCCTTCTGTTCCCAAACAGTGTATTAGTAGTGCTCTCTTCCTCACGGCGGAAAACTCCTCACCACCGATAGCAAGCAGGTAGTTCTGAAATAACTTTTCCCATGCATCAAAGGGAATTTTCGGTTCACCTGGGCAATCCAGAAACACTAGTGGGGGTTACAGAGAGAGCAGAGACATCCTGGCATCCTCGTCGCCAATTGTTATGTTGGGAATCAGTAAAATAAAGAAGCAGAAAACAAGCAGTACTGAACCACACGCAGTTTACTTAATCTTCTTCCTTCATTACTATCCTACAATAGAACATGTATGAACAACAGTGCCATCTAGGGGAGGCCTTAAACGTAGCACAATTATTCAGACACAATAATACTGAAAGCAAAGATTCACATACTTTTGCCACTCACATTTTTCTCAATAAATAAATAACAAAGTATATTTTTGTCTCATTTGTTTGATTGGATTCTCTTTGTCTACTTTCAGGTGAAAATCTGCTGATCTTTTGGGTCATATTTATTCAAAATTCTAAAGGGTTCACAAACTTTCAAGCAGCACTGTACATATACCACACTCATCAGCATGGCGCAAAAGGCCAACAGTACTGATAACAATACTTTAGCTAAAGTAATACGTTTTGCGTAATATTTGTTCAAAGCGATCACTACAGCAGTGTTTGTACTATTTTCTGTTTATTTTGATAAAATAATCGTATTCACTTTTATTAATAAATGCACTGACATTAAAATACATTAATTTAAAATAATAATTATAATAATCATAATAAGATTCCGAAAGCTTCTTGGAAATTTCATAATCATTTAAAATTGCTTTACAATATTAACAACAAATATGTAATTTTATTATGTAAAAATATGAATATATTCTTAAATATGATGGTTCCATTAAAAAGGTGAAAAATTATATTAACTGTTTGCATCTACCCAACAAATGGAAAAGTCTGCCAGCAATTTATTACCACATTTTAATTCTGCTTCAACAACAGAGGAGCGTTTTACCCCAAATATGCATATTCTCCAGTTACTGAAAACATAATCAAAACATTATTAACAAAACTCTAATTCACCTTTTACCCCGTGCACTTTCAGTCCTGTTGAGTTGTACCCTACCTCAGTCTTCATGAATGGCTGTACCGAAAACAGTTTATATTAGTGGGAAATGTTTGCATGAGTTAGTTATTAGAATTTCAGCTTATCCAAAAGTAATAAATGATCGGTTACAATTTATTTTAAGGTTTCATATACAGTGCAATTATAAAATTAAGTGTTGAGTAATATTAATTAACAGTATAGGCTTAGCATTAGAATTAGATTATAGAGTGTGATTAGTTTACTAAGTGCATTAAACAGCTGAATATCTGTAGCAATTGATGCCACTAACTTGCAAACATTGGCAAACGCAGTAGGTAATTTCTCCTCAGAGATGCTTATTCTAGCAGACACTTGGTAAACAATACTTTGTTTCCAGCAACTGTTAAAAACCTATGTATACTAATTATGTCTCGCAAAGTGGATGAATGTATTACCACCAGCCATGCTATTTCAGCTTCTGCTCATTTTGGTAAGAGACTGATAGAAATAGTAACATCTCTGTATGTTGCAAACAGCCAGCAAATGCAGCACTACACAAACCAGTTAGCAAAAGAGACCAACAGACATCTGAAAGACCTGGGCTCTTTACCACAGCCACAGTCTCCTTCAGAACAGGTGAGTTCAAACCAATGTGCATCTGACCTCATATTGGCCAGATGTGGTCATGCTAACGCTTCTCTTCACACAGCGGCAGCAGAGGATTCAGAAAGACCGTCTGATGAATGACTTCTCAGCTGCCCTCAATAACTTCCAAGTGGTCCAGCGGCGAGCCGCAGAGAGGGAGCGCGAATCAGTGGCGCAGGCTCGAGCTGGCTCCAGACTCCAGGTAACTAATTTGCTAATTAGCTAATAATAATTTGTGTTTGTCATTTCCTTAATAAAAAGCCTTTCATTTTGCAGGTTGATGAGCTCAGTCAAGATGAACAACTTGTGACATTTGAAAAGTAGGTTCCTCATATTCATCGAGTCCTCCCCAAAATGAAAATTCTGTCATTATTTACTCACCATCAGAATCGTTCCAAACCCAAACTCTTTCTTTCATCTTTCAAACACCACTGAAGATATTTGTATATATTCTCATGATTTTTGTTCCGCCATTGAAAGTTAATAAAGACACTGTAAAAGTAACCCATATTAATTAAGCAGTTTAATTTCATGAAAAGGTTGTTTTATATAACAGTAGTGATGTATTGTTCATGATCAAATTGTTCCTTTCTTTTTAGTGAACTGGATGAACCAAACCAAATTAAACTGACTTGTTTAAAGCAGTTCAACAAAACAAAAAAAGTTGCTCAATCAAAACTAACTTTCGGACATGCCTGATTAAAATATCCCAGAGTATATGATATAAAGTAGGATTTAGACAACTCTTCGTAGCAGGGCTCCAGAACAGAAGAAATTAAAACAAATAAAATGTACTGGAAATATAAATCATAAATCAGCTACATGCTCTTACACATAGCTTTATTTAAATTCGTTTTTGAGAACTAATTTTTCACCTGTTGGGATGATAGTGACACAATTAAAGGCAGAGTAAGTGATTTCTGGTAGCCAATGTTGACATTTGAAATCACCAAAACAAACACGCCCCTATCCCAAAAGGGTCTTGCCTCTATTTTGATAGCTCCGTCCCACATATACGTACGCAACCCAGGCAACGATTAGTTCTGTGAAACAAAGCAAAACCAATGTTACACCGTGTCTACGGATGTGAAGCCGCGCGGCGCAGCAAATCCCCGACAGAAAACTGCTGCCGGGTTCTATTTATGACGTGCAGACACACATTTCAAATGGTTTTCAACGGTGGTTTGATCGCGTCCAGTGTAGGCAGACTTTAGCTGTTGTAGACACGGTGTTACTCACCTACTGAGAAGAAACAAAGCAACCTCAGCATCCGATCGCATTCCTCCACTCCTTGAGTTCTCTCCAGCGCTGGAAAGCTGATCTGATATTTACACGGGTCCTACTTCTTGCCTTATCGTTCCGCAGACGTTTTCTTCTTTTGTTTTTTATCCGCCATCTCTATCTTTCTGTCGCTCGGCTCGGCTAATGTCCGTCCCATGCACTGAAAGCTCTCTCCTCCACATCACGAGTAGACACGCCCCTTATTGCTGATTGGCTACAAGTTTGTTTTGCTATTCGGCCCGAATCAGTTTTCTAAAGTGTTTTTGAAAAATCACATACCCTGCCTTTAAGTTATGACGTAAAAGAACCGGTGAACCGGTTCAGTGAAACGAGAAGAACGAAAAGAACTGGTTTGCGGAAAATAATTGCATTTTTTTTCATGCTGTTATTTGCACTGCACAATAAACATATATAGAACACATCAAATATGGTCAACACGCGAGAAAACGTATCACACAAGCACATCTGAGGTTTGTTCTTGCTCTTTGAAACGACATGAGGGTGAGTAAATGATGACAAAATGTTCATTTTCATCAAATCTAAAAATTAGTCCTTTATCAAGCTGTAATTCATTTGACCCCAATTCAAACCCAAGGATCAAATATCGCTCTCATTTACCCTGATCTTGATCAAAAAGCACATCACAAACATGCGATGCATATTCCAAGATGATTTACTGATATGATATGAATCAGATATGAGCAGAGTGGGTCTGGTGAGAGATACGAAAGCAGAAATGTTCATAGCTATTTTCATTTGAAAAGAAATGAAGGGTGGAAGATGCAGACAGAAGAGGAGCCTTTCACCGAAGAGGACCTTGAGCTTATTAAAGATAGAGAGACAAATATCCGTCAGCTGGAGGTGAGCACTTCCTGTATGACATCAGCATACAAAAATGATCATTTCTCATAAGCATTCAAGCTAGCCCGTCATTTTTTTATATACCTTTAAAAGATGTCTTCAAATACATTGTCATACTTTTTTGAAAATGGTAATTACGTGGTGATTCTCAGACATAGATTGTAGTACAACGTCTCAACTGCTTTCTGTTCTTGATTCTTGATTCAGTCAGACATTATGGATGTGAATCAGATCTTCAAGGACCTTGCAGTTATGATCCATGACCAGGGTGACATGATAGGTAGGTTAGTCTAGTTCTCTCCAACCAGAACTCTTTTCCTGCACAGATTCAGTTGTTCACAGATTTGAAGGCCTGGTTTCCTCATGTCATCATTCACAGATAGCATTGAAGCCAGCGTGGAGAGTGCAGAGGTGCATGTGGAGAGAGGAGCTGAACAACTCCAGCAGGCGGCTTATCATCAGGTATCAGGCCATGATGGACATTTATATGACTTTCCTTCCTTTACACATACATTACCAGTCAAAGGTTTGGAATAATTCACTTTTTGTTTTGTTTTGTTTTTGAAAGAAGTTTATTATGCTCAACAAGGCTGCATTTATTTATTAAATATAACAAAAATATTAGATAGTACAAACTATTTTCAACATTAATAATAATAATACACTACCATTCAAAAGTTTCGGGTCAGTAAGATTTTTTTTTCAAGCAATGTATAATTTTATTCAGCTGTATGCATTAAATGGATCAAAAGTAATGACATTTATAATGCATCAAAATATTTCTGTTTACAAATAAATGATGTTCTTTTGAACTATTTATCAAAGAATCCTAAGAAATCAAATGAATCATGTTTTGCACAAAACTATTAACGTTTTTGTTTTCAGAAAATAATACTTTCAACCTTTATAATAATAATAATAAATATTTTAGGAGCAAATCAGCAATATTAGAATGATTTCTGAAGGATCATGTGACACTGGAGACTGGAGTAGTGATGCTGAAAAAATACCGCTTTATCATCTCAAGAATAAATCACATTTTAAAATATATTCAAATAGAAAACACATCTTTGAAACTGTAATTATATTATTGTTTTACTGTGTTTTTGATCAAATATGCAGCCTTGGTGAGCATAAGAGATTTCTATTTTTTTTATAAGTCTCTATTTCAAAATGATTTCAAACTTTTAACTGGTAGTTTATGTAACAGATGCATTCACTAAGATCAGTAGTGCTGCCTAGTAGACTGTATATAATTGTGTTTTTTTTCCTTTTAAGAGAAAATCCCGCAAGAGGATGTGTATACTGGCTCTTGTCGTGTCGCTAGTGGCGACCACCTTTGCTATAATTATCTGGCAAGCAATCAGATAAGATGAGAGCAGAATCTTACAGAAGTACAGGATCCTACTTCAGTGTTGACTGAATGATGTGTGTGTGTGTGTGTGTGTGTGTGTGTGTGTGTATACATGTTTTTCTATACTGGTGGGGACTTAAACCCGAATACACACCAACTCATGGGGACTAAATTGAGGTCCCCATGGGTACAGAAGCTAATCACACTTGACAGATTGTAAAAATGCATAAAGTTTCCAATGAGGGGTAGGTTTAGGTGTAGGGTTGGTGTAGGGCGATAGAAAAAACAGTTTGTACAGTATAAAAACTATTATGCCTATGGAAAGTCCCCACAAGGATAGTGAACCAGACTGTGTGTGTGTGTGTGTGTGTGTGTGTGTGTGTGTGTGTGTGTGTGTGTGTGTGTGTGTGTGTGTGTGTGTGTGTGTGCACATATTTGTGGAAAAAACAAAACAAAAAAAACCCTTCATTTTCTAGGATTGGCTTGTAATATTGTGATGTGAACCTATAGTGTCTCTTAAACATTTCGAACCATTTACCCCCTTCTTATTTAAGACAATTATCAAACATCACATCACCGCAGATCTCAGCTCAAGCATGGATCACAGAGACATGGTATATTTTAATTTACTAATATGGATCAGATGCCAATATTAAGAGCCATTCCTGCAGAAATACAGATCGTTTTAAAGTATTTTCACAGTATCTGCACATTTGTGTTAAATAAACATTGCTAGTAAGAGAATAGTTTCCTCTATAAAAATGTTTGTCCATGAAATATCTGGATCATATACAGTACAGCTTAAACATGGTTTACGTTTGCAACCACTTGCATGAATGTAATTCTTTTTAAAAATGGTATTTTGTTGCTGCAGGTCTTGATTCTTTTTTTTTAACTGAAATGATGCAAAATAATAATACTAAGTTTATTCTTTAAAATATTTATTTCTCAAAATTGTTTCAAACATTTTAATGTTGTGTATGTTTTGATGCAGTGCTTTGATTCTCAGAAGTAAATGTATTTCTTGGTAGTACATAATAAATGAATTAAGTTTTAATAATCTCTATCTATCCATTTTTATTTCAGATGATCAAAACTAATTTGTTGCATATTGCATATGCTGATTTAAATAGGACTGCAAAGTACCATGTTAATGTTCACAGTTTCTGTTTCACCCACAAGGTGGCACACAGTAAACATCACTGATGGTCAGTCCGCCTTGGTCATCAAAGCTCACCATGATATGGAGTTAATGCTTGTTTTTGTAATGACAGAATATTCAATGTTGTGTTCTGTTGCTCAGGACATCCATCTTAAGAAGGGTCAGGCTCACAAATTATAATTATAACTTCATCATGTTAATACTGAGATTGAAGTGCTCTTTGGAGTTATTTTCGAGTCGTCCTTTGTCATTTTTGTGCATCACTCATTGTCATAATCAGCGGGCAGAACACCCCCACTGTCCTCCACTGATTAGCATGACTAACAGTTCAACATGCATATCTTATATTCTACCCCACATTTTGGGAAAGTCTTGATTATGATTGCAGTGGCTAAAGCCACTACATGGAGAAGTGTTTATAGAGCTGCCACAGGGACTGTGTAGGAGTTGGAGGTTTTGCAATATTTCTTAGTGCAAACCATATCAGAATTGCAAACATTCATTTAACTTAATGTAAAATTATTTTCAATTACATATTTAAATGAGGACATTGGCCACACCCAAGTTTACCAAGATAGTAACCATCATTTTGCCAAGAAATGATGGTCCTGGAACAACATTTACACTTCGTCAGCCTTCAGATTTCAGGAAAAGGGTTTTGGTTTTGCTTAGGCAAGAGGCTGAGAGCTTAAACAACATTGTTGGTTTACAGTCAGGAATCTGAATGTACCTGTAAATATTCATCTTTAACATAACATCCCACACTCAACCACACAGAACACCTTATAAAATACAGATATGCATTACTAATACTACTGTGCATTTGAATATGTTTGTGAGGTAGAATATCAATAAAATATAGGTGTTATATAGGTCTTTTCTGTGTTCCATTCTGCACAGTTAATTAATAAAATAGCATCTGTGTGTTCTTTAGTAGAACAAAGAGAGTCCTAAGGGGAAAGGTAAAATCACCTCTCCCCCTTGGCTGCTATTTTGTATGTGGTGTGAAAGGAGGGATGTTGTTTGTCAGGTTCCTTTTCATCTGAGGCTAGTTTTTCCCTTCAATCTTTTTTCATTTCCTGCTTCAGAGCTGAATCTTTGTAGAAACACGAGAACAAAGGAAATGGGAGTTGGTGGTCCTGTGTGCATTGTCTTATTTTGCAAATCCAGGTGGTGTGGTAGAGGCACTGATGACAAACTGTTGGTCTTATCAACAGATTCTTTATGCTATGCTATGCTACACTATTAATTGTTTATTAAAGGAATAGTTCACCCAGAAATGAAAATTTGTTGAAGATTTACTCAGGTCAGCTCGGGTCATCCAATATGTAGTTTGTATGTTCATCATAACAGATTTATACAAATGTATCATCACATCACTTGCTCGCTAATGGATCCTCTGCAGTGAATGGGTGCCGTCAAAATGAGAGTCCAAACAGCTGATAAAAGCATCACTATATAATCCACACGACTCCAGTGCATCAATTAATATCTTGTGAAATGAAAAGCTGTGTGTTTTTAAGAAACAAATACAAACAATTTCTGGCTGCCCTCTATCCGTAATATTGTTTTCTCCAGTGAAAGATTTTCGTCTGAATCAAGAGAAAACGTCTCGGTTACGTATGCAACCCTCGTTCCCTGAAGGAGGGAACAGAGACGTCACATCGGTGACCGACGAATTGCAATCTCGCTTAGAGAAACCAATCCACTTCGAGTGTAAACTAAATGAGCCAATGTACATTGGCATGCGATGATTGCATCCAGCTGCCGCTGATCACAGCGTGAGCATAAAAAGGCAGCCGGTGCAACGCATACCAGGTTTTCACTGAGGAGCTGAGCCAGTGACCCGGCCACTCAGCGGTGGTACAGCAGCCGTGACGATGGGACGTGACATCTCCGTTCCCTCCTTTAGGGAACGAGGGTTACATACATAACCGAGACGTTCCCTTTCAGTCGGTCACTCCGAGTCACATCGGTGACCGACGAATTGGGATCCCTACCAAAGCACCATGGCTGCTGCCCCTTCCAGTGTCCTGTGCCCCTTTGTGGTGTAGGCCGGGGCTCGCAACAAGAAGACCAGTCACTGTTGTCATAGCACTACCCACTCAGTGAGATTGGATAACAGACTTATCCCTTTGTTGACACTCTCGAACCGCCCGTGTACCACCTGTACTCAGGTATTGTCATCAATAAATAAAAATAGAGACTGTCTTGATTTCATGTGAACATGTTTAGATTTGTGGTGTAAACACTTCAACCTATGCAAATGACTTCAATCTGTTTCAGTTAACTGGCACTCACTCAGTTAGCTCCCCACTGCACCTGATAAAGTGAAAGGAGAAGGAGGGTGAAGTGTATTAATTAAAGGAATAGTTCACACAGGTAGGCCGGGGCTCGCAACAAGAAGACCAGTCACTGTTGTCATAGCACTACCCACTCAGTGAGATTGGATAACAGACTTATCCCTTTGTTGACACTCTCGAACCGCCCGTGTACCACCTGTACTCAGGTATTGTCATCAATAAATTAAAAATAGAGACTGTCTTGATTTCATGTGAACATGTTTAGATTTGTGGTGTAAACACTTCATTCCAGTTTGTCCCACTGGAAGATAATGCCTGTGTCAAAGTGAAATAAAAAAAGAAAGCACAGCTTAACACAAATGTTTAAAGGGTCTATTACTGATTTATAAATAAGATTGCTCTAGTTCTTTAATGAAAATCATGATCACAAAATCATGATCAAATTAAGGATTACATGGGCAAAATTTGAGAACAGAGTATCAATACAGCATTTATTATTCATTGCCTTCTTTTTAGTAATGGGCCTCTCAAGGGGTTTCTCAATTGGGTTTCTCAAAGGAAATTCCCACTGGCCAAAACATCTTCATATCTTGTCTCATGATGACCAAGTTGCACCAATAGCTTGGAATTACTGGTATTCACACACCAATTCATCACCCTCAAACAGATGGTGTTGTGGTGTATTTTAATCACACACACAAGTCCATGCTCAACGCATTTGTCTCAGATGCTGAGACAAAATTTCACTGAGCAAGGGAAAATGTGAATGAGTCTTTAGCTTGGAAGAGGGTTGAAATGGTGAGGGCCAACAAAAGGGGGTCCTAGACCTCCAACAATTGAACAAGTATACATTCTTTAATGGGACTAGTCGGATTCTATTTTGTTCTGCAGTTTGCAACCTATGCAAATGACTTCAATCTGTTTCAGTTAACTGGCACTCACTCAGTTAGCTCCCCACTGCACCTGATAAAGTGAAAGGAGAAGGAGGGTGAAGTGTATTAATTAAAGGAATAGTTCACACACACACACACACACATATATAACTTATATATGTGTGAACTTAGCACTATATAAATAAAGGTGACTTGACTTGACTTCACACTCTTGAGTGCTGGGTTGTGTCAGTAAGGGTATGCGGTGTAAACGGCTTAAAAATACATCCAGTCAGAGACCAGTCTGAAGACATTGATTAGCTTGTTCAGGTGTGTCTGATTAGGGTTGGAGCTGAACTCTGCAGGACTGCAGCTCTCTAAGACCGAACTTGCTCTAGGGGAACAACAAGTATTCCAATATTATGTACAAGTATTGCAAAATTGTACAAGGCTCAACATTTCAGTAGAGCAAGATGACCTCTTACCCCCACCTTATATTGTTCTCTCTTGGCTCAAAATCTCAAACATTCGATGAATGGCTATGCTCTTCTTAAGTTTGTAATTTCATCTGAATATCAACATTTGTGTGATTTAGTCATTCAAAAAAGTTTTGATCCATGACATTGTTTCAATGAATCTAAGTTATCAAAACACAATTTTAAATAGAAAAGTTGATTTAGTATTTTGCTTTAATGACACTGGAAATACAAACATTTTGTGCTATTTATTTCCCTTAAGACATTGGCTGATCATCATCATGCTGCATATGCTACATTTATCTAAATATGTTACTATTTAAAAATAAGGGGGCATCTTCCCTCGTCTTGACCTTCAAGCTAAAAGATATCTTCATTTTGACAAATCCAGGCCTGTATTAGTTATAGTATTAGTAGTCAGCCAAAAGACTCCCCACCTGCACTGTCAGAGATATTTTAAGACATAATAAGATGCGATTTAATAAACCTGCCACCAGCATTGAGGATTGCGCACCTTTCATGGTGGTGTTCTATTTTTCTGTAACACCTCTCCGCTAAAGGTGTCCTTGGTCTCAAAACTCAGTGCTGTTCTTTTAGATTAATGACCGAGCAGGTACTTCATCTGTCAGTGAACAATGTACACACCTGGTCTGACACACAATCTAATACAATGATGCTGTTAGTTTTTTCATTATCATGGAAGTTCTGCATACATTGCACAGATCTCACACCCAATTAATATGCTCCAATTCCCTGTTTCTCTGTCTCTTTCTTTTGTAGACACACACACACACACACACTGACAGATATACTGGGGTCTGGATCTATATATAGACATGCTGGGTGTCTGATAGCCAGTATAAAGGCAGAGCTGTTCATGGCTGACCCTCTAACACACGTCAGCTCTCTTAACAACATACTCTGCTATGTTCTCCATGTTTATACAAAATCACAGAGATTCTATGGATAAACTGAAGACATGATGTTTATTAGGACTTCAACACTTGTAGTTTTATGATTCCTGAGTCTGTAGAGAAGGTTTGTCCTCAATTTCTTGCTCGGGTGAAGTTTGTTTTCATACCCCAGAGTGTGTATGAAAGGCACCTTCAGCTGGCAGGCTGCTGGCTGGGGGTGGGGTTGGTGTGTTAACGATGAGTTATTTTCAACCAGAACAAAACTGCCACTGCTGAAACACCCTGATTTGTGTCTTGAGAAAAGTACTGTCCCAGTGTCATGCACAGTATCTCATGTCTCGTTATGTTTTCACACATAAAGACTGTCTGCCCTTGACATGCCTGAAGCAAAGTCTTGGAAATTGTATTGGACACGCAACCTTTATTAACATAACAAATATGTTGTGAAAAAATGCCATCATTCATTTTGCGACTTGAATACTACTAAGTACTTGAATAACGTCATTAATATTCTCAAGTGGCCTATTTTGAGAATAAGTAGCCTATTTTGTGATGTAAATTCTATTCCATTCCAAACTGAAGAATCGTTGAATACTTCTACTCAGTTATAAGATGAGTACTTTTTAGCCATGGGGGAAAAGGTTCGACATAGATAACATTTTACAGGTTCCAATCAGAGGATCAAAGGATTGAATGGAATAATAAAATGATTAAATGATAAATGATTGTAAATGACTGAATAAATGAGTATAAAAGAAAAAGTAAAACACAACACAAATGTTTGGTTGCTCTCTTGAAGAAAACACACGGTTTGCATTTGAGGATCCTTAGATCCTTAACCTTAACTTTTGTATAACCAAGAAAAATATTTGTAAAACATTTTAAAAATGGATGTTTTGAACGTTCAGAGAACATTCAGAAATAACACTTTCATAACCTAATGAAAATGCTAGCAACACTTACACTCTTAAAAATAAAGGTGCTTCAAAAGGTTCTTCAAGCGATGCCATAGAAGAACCATTTTTGGTTCCACAAAGAACCATTCAGTCAAAGGTTCTTTAAAGAACCATCTCTTTCTTACCTTTTTATAATCTGAAGAACCTTCTTTCGCCACAAAGAACCTTTTGTGAAACAGAAAGGTTCTTCAGATGTTAAAGGTTCTTTATGGAACCATTTAGACAAAAAGGTTCTTCTATGGCATCGTGAAGCACCTTTATTTTAAAGAGTTTTTTTGGTAACACTTTATTTTAAGCTGTCCTCGTTACATGTATTTACTATTATAATAACAATTAATTATGCATAATTATAAGCAAGTAACCCTAAGCCAATCCTAACCCTAACCATATAGTAAGTACATGTAGTTAATAAATATTACTCAGTACTTAAATGTATAACTACACTGTAACAAGGACACCTTAAAATAAAGTG